GACAATCCAGGCTCTCCATGATGTACAAGATAAATAATGGGCTGGTCCACTGTTCCAGTATTAAACAGAAACTCGTCACTCTCCCCCATAGACAGCGACGAGGCCATGACAGGCAATTCAGGCTCATACCAGCAAGAAGCCAGTATAGGAACTGCTCATTCCTGCCCAAGACAATCAGGGACTGGAACAATCTTTCAAAAGGAACGGTTGAGGCGACAACACTAGACACATTTGTGTCTATTGCCTCAAGCCTTCAAACCCTTAGTGCATGATTCCCTCAATTTTACACAAAGTGGCACTGGAAATCAGTGAAATTTCCTCATCAACACCAGGAACAGAAACATTGCAAATCCCCACGACATGCATAGGAGCCAAAATGATTAATAAATTGATCGTGGGCCCTTAAGATATAGAAGAAGAAGCTGGAACTGGGGACTGTTGTCTCCAGAGAAACGATTGGTCAGATATGCAGTTACAGAATCCAAGTACGGAACAAATATTATTTGTCTAAAGTGGTTTTCTTCAGAGTCGGGATCTTCATTTGAGTTTCTAGGATTGCTGCGATATACTTGTTATCCACGGTTACGAGGGCTCTTCTTTTCAATGTTAACTAAAACTGCAAGAGCCAAGATTTGTTCATACATATTTTTTGAGTTTCAACATTCTGACGATGCTCACGGAAAATGTCCATTAATTTACAAATATTTATTTATTACACTTACCAAATCCACCTGTATTACTTTTAATGATTTAGCTACTAGTTCCAGTATTGCTGAGTATGTAATCAGCAAGACATACGAGAACATGAACACATTAGCTGCTGAGCATCTTGTCTCTTTTTACTCGTGTCATTTGGAGCCAGATTGTGCAAGTGATTGCATATAATCTAGAAATTCATACTCTACGTGCAAATGTTTTTATATTATGCTGACTATCGAGATTCACAGAACAATGGAACGTTAGATATAAACGACCTTCACCTTATGCTTTCTCGAAAGAACGTAAATAAGGCTTTGATTATTTATTACTTCCTCCCTTATCACTATGATGCCATCACATATCTCTATCAGTTGATTTTGGAGTATGTGAGGAGTATAACGAGCATTACCAAAGGACGTCTGCAAATGTGTCTCCACATTAACTATTTTATATTCATAGTGTGAAAGTGCAAATATAATTTTTGTATTAATTTATTCTTTTCCAGGGTGGGTGATGTGACCCACTCTGACCCTTAGTCCGGCCATGAATATAATGTATAATTTTTTCTCTTTTTGTAACTGTAAAAGTTGATAATAAACCGTAAAATAATGCCAAACCTTTTAGTATATTTCATGTCGTTCACCATTGAAAATCAAACCAAAGACAGCCCTTTGTGGATTTAAATCACTTGTTACTACACTGTGACTGTAGTCGTGTGTGTGTGTGTGTGTGATCCAGAGTTCCCCACTGTGTTTTCTTTCTTACTATTTCTATAAAGTTATAATCTTTAAAATGTATTTATTGCAGGCTATCAGTGCTGTTGACCTGGCCCTCTGGGATCTTTTAGGAAAATTAAGAAATGAACCAGTTTATTCACTTTTGGGTATGTGCTACTGTATAGGGCTTAACTGAGCAAGTTTATTCACTGTTGTGTATGTGCTACTGTATAGCCTAACTGAACCAGTATATTCACTGTTGGGTATGTGCTACTGTATAGCCTAACTGAATCAGTTTATTCACTGTTGGGTATGTGCTACTGTATAGCCTAACTGAACCAGTTTATTCACCGTTGGGTATGTGCTACTGTATAGCCTAACTGAATCAGTTTATTCACTGTTGGGTATGTGCTACTGTATAGCCTAACTGAACCAGTTTATTCACTGTTGGGTATGTGCTACTGTATAGCCTAACTGAACCAGTTTATTCACTGTTGGGTATGTGCTACTGTAGAGCCTAACTGAACCAGTTTATTCACTGTTGGGTATGTGCTACTGTATAGCCTAACTGAACCAGTTTATTCACTGTTGGGTATGTGCTACTGTAGAGCCTAACTGAACCAGTTTATTCACTGTTGGGTATGTGCTACTGTAGAGCCTAACTGAACCAGTTTATTCACCGTTGGGTATGTGCTACTGTAGAGCCTAAATGCGAGTCAAAGCTTGACACATTTTGCTACCACCTTCCTCATTCTACCTACTTCACTCCACTCCCCATATCATGGTTTCATTAGGACTGCATCAATTAATCGGGTATTTTGAAGATTACTCAGAAATCTGTTTTATCACAACTTTATGTTACAGATTAATCAGCCTACCAAAATGCTCTTAACTCTCAAAATGTCAGATTTCAATCTTTTAAATATATGTATCTTAATCAATTTTAATATTTATAGTGGGGTATTAAATCAAAATAAGGTATGCATATGTTTTTATTAAGCGTGCAATTTTAACATTACCCCCCTCCTCTCCATCAAGTCTATTGTTGTTGTTTTTTTGTTTCCATGACGCCAGTGTTTACACAATGATGATAAAATAGAACATTACGCCGCTGGAACCAACTCTTCGGACATTTTGTTTGATTAACTCCCAGTTATCCTAGCCATTAAAATTGTCTCTTGTTTTGTTTTTTAAACCAGACTTTCAGATTGTTTTTTAAAAAAATCATTGACATTATTATTATTACTAGCATGTGCAAATTATCGCTTCATAATCTGAAGGAAAACTAATAGTTTACATTTAGGGCAATAACTAAAGCAAAAAAATCTTGTTATTTCCCCATTCCCTTTTATGAGCCGCACAGTATCTTCCTCCTCAACAAGGTGCCGTACTTACAACAGCTTTTTTGATCCATCAGTTGCCTTTTCAACGGGGGGGGGGGGCGGCGCATTTTTTTATTTTTAAGGGCGGCATTTTGGTGAATATCAGTATTTTTTCGTGGTAGGGGGTAGCAAAAAGGTTGGCCCACCCCAGGAATGAGCCGCACAGTATCTTCCTCCTCAACAAGGTGCCGTACTTACAACAGCTTTTTTGATCCATCAGTTGCCTTTTCAACGGGGGGGGGGGGCGGCGCATTTTTTTATATTTAAGGGCGGCATTTTGGTGAATATCAGTATATTTTCGTGGAAGGGGGTAGCAAAAATGTTGGCCCACCCCAGGCAGAACTATGTCTAAGGGGGTAGCAAAATTGTTGGCCCACCCCAGGCAGAACTATGCCTAAGGGGGTAGCAAAAATGTTGGCCCACCCCAGGCAGAACTATGCCTAAGGGGGTAGCAAAAATGTTGGCCCACCCCAGGCAGAACTATGCCTATCTACGCCACTGCAACCACCAACAGCCCACCTAGAAAATTCAGTTCATGAGGTACAAGAAAATTAAATGAAATCACTGTAAAAAGGATGTTAAAAAAATTATTACACATATCTTCCTCTTTTGCGACCGCCGCTGCCATGGATGCCTCATATATTGTATTTTTCTGGCAGGTGGCAAGACCAAGGAGCGCTTACCTGTCTACTCAACCACTGCTAGACCTGATATAGCTCAGAAACTTGGTTTTGTAGGAGCTAAAATCCCTTGTTGTTATGGTCCAAGCGCTGGTGACGATGGTTTGCAGAAAAACGTGGAGTATTTTAAATCCTGGAGAGAAAAAGTTGGACCAGACTTTCCATTAAGTTTGGACTGTTACATGGCACTCACAGTTCCTTACGCGACCAAACTTGCCAGATGTCTGGAACCCTATGGAATAAAGTGGATTGAGGAGTACCTTATGCCAGATTGTTATGACGGTTACTGTCAAGTCCGTGAAAACCTGAGAGCCTCCAGCATCCTTCTGGCAACAGGAGAACACGAATACACTAGATATGGCTTTCAGAAGTTACTAGAATCACGCTGTGTGGACATCATACAGCCTGATATTACTTGGCTGGGTGGAATGACAGAAGCTAGGCGAGTAGTAGCAATGGCATCAGCTACTGACACTCTAGTCATCCCCCATGGTTCGAGCGTCTTTTCCTACCATCTTCAATATGCTTTCAACAACTGTCCTCTGGCCGAGTACATCAATCTGAGCCATAAAGCCGATCAAATTGTTCCTTACTTTGGGGGCTTATTTCCAGACGAACCTTTACCAAAAGATGGATTCATTGATCTGCCAGACCGCCCAGGTTTTGGAGTTACACTTAAGAAAGACAATTTAACCAGACCTTATGCCCGGGCCATAGAAGACTCTCGAAAAAATGCTCTGGCTAATTTACAAAAACTGAATCCTGTCAAGGCCACTTTTCCATTCTAAACTATAACGGATCAATAGCTATGAATTAATCATTAGGCGTGTTTGTTTAAAAAACATTTCTAGGCTAAACAAATGATCTCTGATATATAGTTTTGTGTTTCATGCTTAAACACTGAAAATATATAGTTTTGTGTTTAGTGCTAAAACTAGTTGGTAAGATAAATATTTTTAAAAATTAAATTGTTACCTGTGTGTGTGAGTGTGTGATTGGCTCATTTGTATTCAAGTTCAAGCAGTGTGTACTGAAAAGCACAGTGATGTTCAAGCAGTGTGTACTGAAAAGCACAGTGATGTTCAAGCAGTGTGTACTAAAAGGCATGGTCATTTTCACATGTTAACTACAGCTACCGTACTGTAAACCTTCACCTCTATTAATAAAGTTTATGTGTAGTTGGCGGATCATTTTGATATTTTTATTTGTTAAAGTAAACTATTATTAACAGTGTCAAACAATTAGTATTTTGATAATTTACCATTAGTGATGATTATACCAAGAGGTTCAATGGCAAAAGCTCATTTATTTCATTTATGAATACCAAAAATAAATAAAAAAATTAATTGTATACATTACCCAGCACGAACAGCAATACATCTTTAACTTTACAAATAAACATACATTCAGAACGTGTTAAAATTAATCTTGATAAGACAATCCTAGATGGCTGACTGACATTTTGTGTTTAATAAGATGTTAAAAGATAACATCATCTTAACAGCTGACAGTCAAAACAATAAGTACGGTACGTCACCATGCAGCGGTAGGCAACCTGCCAAAACTGGCTCTCTGAAAGAATTAATGAGGCCCCAGCTTGCAGCTCCATATTTTCCTCAGAGATTTCAATTATAAAAAGGCTTCATTTTAAATAAAAAAAGGTTTTCCCGCCGACATAGTGATACAAAGAAAAGGCAGGCAAATGGTGCTTCCCATAGTAAAACAGTTGGCTGCCAGACATATAGGTGCACACTTAACCTGACATTGAATTGGGCTACTATTATAAGACAATATCAGTAATTATTAATTAGAATAAATTAAATGAATTTACTAAACTGGAATTCTCATTTGGTGGCATCATTGCTATTCCTGTCCATGTTAGCTGCTTTGCCAACATAATATCTCATTCAGTCAATTTCTTGTTTTGCTTCATCAAAGTAATTATTCTACTTTTTGTTCTTACATGCTCCTGTCCCTGTTTTTATTTTTGTCCTTTGCAAGTTCCAAACTTTTCCCTCCTTGTTAACATAATAATCTCATGGTTTAGTTTCCTTTTGCTCTCTTCATGTCAGTGATGATTAGCTGAGTTGTGTTGTTGTACTCAGTGGGGATTCAAGCATCTTTAAATCTTTCATCTTGAAATGATTCATGTTCTTCAGGTCCTGAATTTTTTAAAAAATATACTGGTATCAATTGAAAATAGACTTAGTGTAGTAAATGTATAGAGCTACTGACACTATTTTAAATTGATTAAAAAAAACAGTAAATGAAATACAAGGGAGATAACAAAGCTACAGTTAACATTAGGTAAGTTAGTCTGACTGGACATGAGCTTTACAAAATGATGCATTCAGTGCAAGAAAATGATTTCTTAAAAAGATAGTTTATGATTTATGACAAGATAGAGTCTAAAAAAAAAAATAGAAAGGAAGATCCTAATTCTTGAGGGTCCATTATAACTGATTTGCTTCATTACCTTAACAGACTGGGTGTGAAACTTCAAGCTAAAGGCCAGATGGCGTAAGAGCTTTTGGACATGCCAATGAGACTCAAAATATAAAGAAAGTTTAACAATTTAACTTTTAATGACCTTGACATTCTAAAAGTATTTTAGGAATTTAACTAGAATAAACATTGATGATGTGGTATTACGTCTCAATGACTATGTCATATGACAATGTGGTGCTGGGTGGCATAGAGGCCTAAACGGAGTTAATCCCAAGCTATTGGATTGGAGTTCTATCCCCAGAAAATGCCCAGACAAGCAAAAACTTCACCAGCAACCAGGGAAGATGGGATTCGTTAACCTTGGATGGATACTCATCTAAGAGAAGGTAAACTCTGAAATCAAACCCGGAGATGAAGTCCTGTAGGTGTTATGATATTGACACAATGAACCAATAAAACATTCCGACAACATCTGAAGTGTAGAACACATAATGAGCACTGTGCTGGTTACTGAATTCCAGTTGTATTTCCAGTTGTCTTGACTATGTCTAGCCATTAGATGAAATAGGAAAGGACAAGAGAGTGAGGCTAACAAACTGAGCAACTCTTCCTAACAAGAGAGTGAGGCTAACAAACTGAGCAACTCTTCCTAACTTAAAACAAAATACAGCTCAAGTCAAGGCCATTCTCAGGTAAAAAATTATGGTATCATATCTTTATAACTGCATCAGATGAAAATTGTGGTATGAGACTGTTAATAATGTGAGTTTATTGCATGGCACACTCATCATTGTTGATTTTACTTCTCATTAAGATCATACAAGTTTACAGAAAGAAGAAGAAACAAATGCTTTGATTTTTGTACAATGCCAACTTTTTAAAATATTTTTACAGGCATCCTAAAGTTCTTTTAGACTTCTTTTTATATTTCAACAGATTGTATATTGAAAACTTTTTGAAATTCCAAATGGTTTAACTAAGTCTCCAACCTTTCAAGATTTTTAACTTAGTCTGGCACTCCATACAAAAGTAACAATATTCCATTCCAACCAGAAATTTTAGAACTTCTAAAATACATTAGGACTTATTACAGAAAATATCATGTTGAGCAATTTAAAAAAAAAAATTAATTAAAATCAATGGCTCCCGTTTTTTTAAAATCTTTTCCTCACACAACCTAAAATGCCTTCTTGCATCCTTGGTGGTGTGAACACCCAAGTTAGGGAAACCACAATTTATAAGATTCAGGAAGTTTTTAGATTTTTCTAGAAGTTTGATTTTTTCAATTTTTTTTAAAACAGCTTACAAATGTCAATATTATGTTTTAAACACTTTTTTATGAATTGACTTGAATGTTATGAAACATAAATTAAGAATATTTCTGAAGTTTCTAGAAAGTTTAAATTAGTACATTTTAAAATGAATTAAGTATTTAATTTTAAACCCATTACTATCGAACCACAATTTAATTGGCCACAGCTCTTGCACTTTTAAACAAATTTTGGTGATACATCTTCAAAGGGTTAATTAAATTGGTACTTTATGACGTTTTAGACTGGGCCCCCTATTTGGGAGATAATTAAAATATTCTTATTGAGGACGGGGCCTTTTACAATAAAGTTATCTGAAAAACCAATTTTAAACTTAGCTGTAGCTTTGTTATCTGTGAACAAATATTGGTAGGATGACTTAAAAAAGTTAGGTGTTGTTCTTTTAACTCTTGAATGGCCTTTGCCCTTGTATATATTTGATCCACAGAAAAACTAATATGTGTGAATGAATATCTGAAGTCTCAGGAGCCATGATACAACCACATTATAATATAACCGAATTTTCATTAAGTTGGGAGTTTGATAGAAGAGTTCCACCGTACATATATGAAATGTTAACAAATACACATATAGATACAAATAATCTTTGTGAAAAGCTACTAGGGCAGACCGGGTCACGGCCTGGTCCCGGATACAAAAGTAAAAATAATGAGTTAGGAAAGTAATCTCAAAACCCTATAGGCAAGGAATTTATTTTAGGTGTTTTGTTGTTTGATTGTCCCACTAAAACTTAAAATAAAATTTTTTTGAATTGGGAGTAGTGAGAGGGATGCTTCAATGTATCATTGTTTGTGTCTAAATAGCCTTAACAATGGCACATCTGCCAGATGGACAGGCAAGCCAATGGGTTGGAATTTGTTTAACCCACCTGGGCCAGTACGAACTCCGCCCCTACAGTAACTGTTGAGAGACAGAGAGCGTATATTTTTTAAAATGTGGAAACAGGGTGGGAGTAGTGTGTTAACTCTCAAGTGAGGTCACTTTGTTAGAGCACAGGGTGATAGAGGGAGTTATTTCTGGTCACTGAGTATACTCATTATGGCTAGAGTTGGATGTGTCTTCATGTTTTATTGTTAGCTTGAGTGAGAGGGTTGCATAATCAAAGGTTGCTACAGGTGTCACCACTTCTAGATACTCCACTGCATTGTGTCACTGGCTTGAGCAATACCTGCAGTGTCCTAGGTGGTTTGATCTATTTCTTTTAAATGTACGGGAGTATAGTTAGGCCCTCGGAGTTGAGTTGTTTTATTGGTGTAATATGTTTATACAGGCATTTATGAGAATATGTAAGAAAAAGGACAACGGAAATTAATGGTTCATTTGAAAAAATATTGACGGAGTTTTTAGTTGGGCATATATAATTTCACCTGGCCCTAAAAATTAACCAAGGCATGCACCCCATACAGAGCGTTAAGGAACTGAGATCTCTTATGCTCCTTAGGTTTAATTTTTTTAAAGTATTATTGTAACAAAAAGTAACATTAAAATTAGCTTTAAGAGCAATACTGCAGTACTTTTAGGATGTAGTTAAGCATCACTGAGGGGAGGACTATTTAAGGTTTAACCAAGTAAATGACAAAGAACAAACACATAAAAGACAATGACAACTTTGGCGCAAACAGATTAAACATAAATAAAAACTAAAATTAGCATTAAAAAACTATGTAGCATATTTTGGTTGTGTATGTAGATATTTTTAGCCACAGGACTTTGAGTTATATAATAATAACCAAGCTCTTTACCTTCAAAAGCAAGTTGAGATACAAGATTTCTATATTTTTCTTGAACTTTCTTGAATTCCTGTGAAATAGATTGATATAGAGTAAACTTCAATATTTTAAAATGCTTTTTGCAGTTGTGACCACAACTTAAATCTGAAAATCATCATAAAGTAACATATTCATCTAACATGTCCAACAAAATCATGTACCATTTCATACTTTAAAATAGGTAATTATACAATGACATTGAGTTGTTGAGTAGACACTTACAATTTTACATGTTTCCAAGCTGTCAAAATCCCCATCCTTAATTTTAGCTTTCTCTGTCTGTTCTGCTTTTTTTAATAAAGCAGAGTGTCTCTCCTTACTCAAGTAAATTCCTGCTTTCTCAAAAATTAAACTTAATCCCTTTTGGTATCCCTGTTAGAAGGAAAAGAATATTTACATAACAGCATACTTTAATAACATAGCACATCTTCCCAAGAAACCCCCTCTCATGGAATATAACCACCAAAATAATCAATTAATTACACTTATTTGTTATTTTTACCTTAATAAGTTGAGTAAGTTCTGCTTGTGAAGGGCTGGAAAATAAACTAGAACCTTCAGTGCCTTCTTATTAATCTTTTTAAACTTCCTAACTATCCATAATAACAGACTCAATCACTTTTTGAAAACTTTAATTCCATTTCAAAAGATATCTCAATTTTTATTTTTATTTTAAATTTTTTTTTTAACTTTCATTCCCAACCCCCCCCCCCCCCACTCCCCCAGAGGATACTTGCAAGGATAGTATCTGTGTCATAGTGTAAAGATAAAACTTTAACAACACATTAACTATCATATTTTCATGCATTTAATACAATCAACATGTAATGCAAACCTCTAGCTTTAGTTTTTAAAAATCCCATAAATGCCATGTCCCCGTATAACATGATCTGTTGATCTTGTAACATGACTTTTTGCCCCTGAATGGGGAAACATAAGGTAATAAGCCAGTAAACTCAATAGCTTTGTCAAGACGGACAATATTTATTTCACTGAAATTTAAATTCAGTTCACTTACAGAAATTTGTATTACTAGCGTTAGCATAATTAACCAATGAATTATCATCAATTAGAATTTAAATTGCTATCAAATTAATCATCTTAGTTCATCTTTTATACAATTGCTATTCATTGAAGTAAAAAACTCAAAATTTGACATTAAAGATGTTATTTCATTTCATAATTGCCATTTGTCCAGAAGTAAATAATGCCCAAAAAGCAAAGAGGAAAGCATTCACTGATTTTCTTGCTGTAATGTTTAAATATAAACTGTTAATGAAGAAGAAGCTTTAAGTTATAATTATGCAGATCAATCCCTGACATTAAGTAGCATTTTTACCCCAAATTTCTCGCATTCTATGCGGTATTATGCACTTGTTGGGTACAACTACAAGATATAAAAAATAAGAAGGAAGAAATGTACCATATTTGACTTGATTAGTGTAGTGGAAAAAATAGCTTTTAATTTCATGTGTGATGCAGATTTAATTTCTTGCTATTAAAAATTAATATTTCTTCCTTCTGCAACAAACATCCTTGAAAAATGTATTAGTGAGAGGGGTTGTTGGAAGTGCGCAAAAAATGTACTTCTTTTCCATCCGCCAACCACAGCCAATCACCTATGTTGCGGACATCCACATAAAACATTATACACTTTGAAAGCCAGGACGTATAATAACTATTATAAAGAGCAAACTTTAAAATTAACATAAATGATTAGACTAAGTAAAACAGACCTGAAATTTAGAGAAACAAATTTTTAATCCCTAACTCGCATTGGTTACATTTGCTGATAATTATCAACCAAATATTAAGAGTGATCTCCCTCTAGAAGTTTGTAGTAACTTCTTGGTGGTTGAAGATAATAATTATTTTGCAAATAAATCAGCCATAAATAGAGCCATCAAAAAATGTTTAATATATACAGTTGGCTCAAGCAGCAAAAAAAAAATGCTAACTTAAATAAGATCTTATACATCTCCCCACCTTTTCTGCATTTGTACATTTCCCCCCTCCCCCTTTTTGTGGATGTCCTTTGATGAAAGACACCAGAATGAAACACTAGTCCTTTTATAAGAACTTTCATTAATTCACTATTAATATTTCTTGACTTTTTAAAGGTTTATGATTAAAAATCGTAATGGAGGTTATTATGATACAGGCTGACTCCATCTTTTAACAGTTTTAAACATATAGAAGAAAAAAAAGGCTGAACCCATTTTAAAGGATGTAGAAAGATATTTTTTTAACATAAAACTGGCAAAATTTAGAAATGAAGAGAAATTGAACATATTGAATAAATTTGATAATCAAGACTTGTAATATTTTTTTAATAAGCTTGCTTCTACCTTTAAAGTTAGTTCCCCTCTGGCCATTTGTACTTCTAGATGCTCCCATTCTCCTTGAAGACTTTTGCTCAGAGTTGGGTAGACTTTCATAGAATTAGTGTGGCAGACAAGGGGGGTCATAAACACAATGTGATAATTGCACGTTTGGGGCTCACTAGCATTAATTATGTCACTATGGTTCCCACAGATAAATGTTACCTGGTTAAGATTACAAAATAATACATAAATAAATGAGAACTGGAAAGAATAAGAAAATTAAAACAGAGAAATTTAACCTAGAAAGGATTACATAAATACCTACAGATCAATTATCAACAATTTTTCAAGTATTTTGTACCTGGAATTAGAAATCTGCAATTCCATAAACAATGAGTATCTGGTTTTCCCTGGTAAAATATAAATAATCACCTTGAAAGTGAAAGTCAATATTGTCACTATGGGAGTGAAGTTACATGGCCTACGACATGATTTATGTGCTTGAGAAATAATTTAATGTCATGTGTTTAAATTTTTTTTGTTTAAAATGTTTGTCATTGTTAGAATATTTCTCTATGAGCTGCAAATAAATAAGTAAAATGTAATAAAAAACATTTATATTTATTTAGAGCAATAACAGAATCTATCCCATCTTATCCTATTAAAAAAAAGCACACAGTCAATTGGCTTCATAAATAAGAACCTTTATTTACCTCTAAGTCTAAGTTCAAATTAATATCTTATAAAAGAAGTTTAAAACTGTTTAGTGACCATTGATTAGCATGGTATCTAAACATAGCAATAGAGATTATATGGTTTCTCAATTTCTGTTAAGCAGTATGTACATTAATTATTTTATAGCTATTATGGAAATCATTCACAGCACTAATTTACTTTATCTTAGGACCTAATGTGAGAATCAAAAGTAGATTTGATAATGTTTTATTTGGTAATTAATAAGAGCCACTACTTTGTTGGAAAAATCTGAACAGGAAATCCAATTAAAACTTTTGCCTGCTCAGCATCTATATCAAATGTTTAAATGCTTTTTCTTAGCATGTTTCTTTTTTGTGTTCATTTCGATTTTTTATTCTTTATATATTGAAGTTTGATACTCTACTAAGAACAGGGGTGTCCAACTCACTGGTTGCATGTGGCCCAGGATGGCTATAATTGTGGCCAAACTAAAAATTCTAAACTTGCAAAATACCATTAGCTTTCACAGTTCCTAATATAAGATAACATAAGATGCTTTTATTAATCCAAATAAATGGAAATGTTTTTATTGCATTGCACACATTGTTTAAGAAAGCCCTTGAGAATTTGCTGTTTCCCATAATTGGTCAGCAGCAAAGCGTTTGGTGAATCAATTGTGTGATCAAAATAGCTATTAAGTTCTTGAAGGAATCATTGTGTGGTCAGAAAAGCTGTTACATTTGTGAATAATAAGGGGAGAGACTGCAATCAGGTTAGCACAATATAAAATGAGAAAAACAAAGTAGGGTTAAACCTGAAAAAAAGGAACGCAACAAAACAACGAACGTGTCGACAAGAAGCCTTCATCAGCAGACAAAACAACAGAAAAAACAGTTTAAAATAAAAAATAGCACTTAGCTTAGAGGTAGTATCCGTGGGCAGCAAAATTCACATCCGCCATATACTGCCGACATGTTCGTTGTTTTGTTGCATTCCTTTTTTCAGGTTTGACCCTACTTTTTTTCTCATTTTATACATTCTTGAGTGAATCATTGTGTGGTCAGAAATGCTTAAAGGTTTTTGAGTGAATCATTCTTTGGTCAAAATAGTTGTAATGTTCTTGAGTAAATCATCGTATAATCAGAATAGCTCTTCAATTAATGAGCGTTTCGCTGTGTGGTCAGAATACCTGTTATGTTCTAGAGTGCAAGTTTGCATTTGAACAAAGTATGAATTTGTTCGAACTAAGTCCCCGGCTTTTATGGATGATCTTAAACCCTGTAGCCAACTTGTCCTTTGTTTGTTGCCTCAATCTCTGCCATTGTACAAGATGGTGGATACGTGGGTTCCAATATGGCGGATGTGAATTTGGTTCAAGCCCACGACTTCCAATGTCTAATGGCTAAGACAAAGGGGTTTTCTCATTGCGCCCAAATTTCTAAACCAATTTTTATATGTTTTTTCATGCTTTTATATCATAACATATAGAGAAATTAGGGGCAGTTGTATTGATATCCTTAAAACTTTAAAAAGCACATCAGACTTAAGGAAAACATGTATTTTAGCTTGGAACAAACATTATAGTTTATGGAAGAAGAGGAAAGAATTTTGTTTCAATCATTACAGAAAAAAAAAACTTAGTATGCTTAGTATTATTCAAAGTCATCAGGAACTGTCTGAAGAGGTTTGGTCTTTAGAATAAACCAACTGAGTGGCTTCTTTTAACTTACTGTTCAAGCCATAGTTTGAAATGTGTATTTCAAAATAATAACAACAAATATGGCTATATTCAAATCAGTTAATCCACCAGGATGAAAGAAGAATGAAATACAAGGCTATCTATATAGACTTTGAAAAGATTCTGATAGACTACGTTGCTGCAACCAAGTACTGACATATGTGCAACGGTTTTGGAAACGATGCTGCTTTCCTAACGGCTTCTAGCGGTTGCCAAGGCAGCCTTGAAACTCTCGATTGATGTTGAGTCCACGGCGGCATTGTCCAGTTGGTTCCAAGCAATTATTGTTCGTTGGAAGAATTATTGTTTATATTGAACTGTGTTACACCGAGGCACAGTGAAGCATTTACTTTTGTTTCGGATGTAACTGCTCATGGAGTTGTCAGAGGTGAAGTCAGTGTTTATTGGGCATTTGGCTCTGATTAAGCGACCTTGCTTCTGCGGGGTTAGATACGTGTTAGTTGGAATGGCTGGCATTAGCCCTGTGACCACTTTATAGAGAAATGCAGTCAGTCATAAGAAATAATTATGTCACAAGATAAATTACAAAAGCAAGGATGGGTGATTTGTGTAGAATTCACAATGGTTAATTTTTTTCTTGGTTTACAAAGATGATCATGCATTAAATATGTGGCCTATAAGATACCTGGATTTTACCAAAGAGAAGCAAAAGCTTGAATTTTGTATGATCCAAATATCAGAAAACTTTTAAATGCCCCACTTGTCTTAATTTGTTTTTGTTATAAAACTTTCTTGCTGTAACTTAGATGGCTTTCTGGAGAAAATAGGTCATTTTCAGACCTGTTAACCACCAAACTCCAAAAATCGGACAATATTGTCTCAAAATTGTACACTGCAGTATTTTAATAGTAAATAAATAAAAATACAACATAAATAATGTATACAATAACCACTAGCATCGCATGTCCAGTGGAATCAAGTTAAGCTGGCATCAAAAAGGGTAAATGATGGTAAAAAGTAGATGACTGACGTTTATATTGCTATCTGTGCTCACTTTGTTTTGCAGATGTGTATCTGATATATATTATCAATTATATTAAGGTGAACATGCAGATTACATTATCACAGTCCATCACTGGTAAAAATAAAGTTGCTGGTGAAATTTAACGTGGTTCAAACTCAAAGTCAGATCAGGTAAAATAAAATTTATTAAAATAAGAATTTATTAACAAACAAATTAGGGCTTCATTTACAAAAAAAACAATCAAGTTACTTGAGATTTACTTTTTAGGAAAAGCTGTTAAAAAAAAAAAAAAAGAATCAATAATATCCATTATTCCTATTTCCCATTAAAATATTACAGTCTGATTATGATCACAAGCCGTAAAAGGGTCAATGGAAGAGGGGGTGTTTAAAATCGTACAGCTGCTTTGTATGTTCTAAAAATAAATTTCAAAGGCCCTCTCAGATCCTATAAAATATGTTGAAATCTAATATTGCTTCGCTGAACAGTTAAGAATGCATTCTCTAGTTTTCTCCATATCTGTACTGTCTGCTGTCAGTCATAAGAAATAATTATGTCACAAAATTACGTCATCCACCCCCTGTGCCGGGAAACAAAAATTTTAAAACCACTGGCATACGTAACCCATCAATTTTTACGTCACATGTTTGTTGAACATACCGTGGAATAAATATTACTGTAATATCTCTACTACTGAGTACTATCTGAGTATAGCTACCGAGTTCATTTGTTAAAATAAATGGCATCATCACGTCCATAATTCCTACTAAACATCAGATGATATTTTACAGCATCTGAGATATCAATATGTTACTTTGGAACTTTCAGAGTTTCGGGATGAATATTATAGAATTTTTGAATAACGCACATAATTTGGGCCAAGAACCCCCCCAACCCACACATACTTTCATTACAAAAATGTGGCTGTGTTAATTTTATAGATTTAAATATTTAGACCCGTCCCCCATGTAAAAAAATTTCTTAAATCAACACCACTCCTTTTACCTCTCTGGGCAAACCTAATATAACTATAGATGGTCCCCAACCAATCATATTTCTTGATAAATTCACTGCTGGATGTAGAATGCAAATGCAAGTTAAAACTAACAACCGAAATTATACTGTTTAATTAATTTTTTTCTAATCTGAAAAAACTACCGTAATGTATATATTTTCCACCCGGTCTATTAAAATCGTAGTTCTGACAAGTTTTGGCGTACAATCGTAAAAGACATCTCAAAATCATGTATTTTACGCCAAAATCTTAAGGGTAAACAGGTCTGCATTTAAGCAAAGAGTGAGGTGAAAGATTTCACCAATGATGACAATGGCCTATACATGTAACTTAAACCAAATACCAAGGTAGATGTAACACAAACATGATGGCAGACTCTTGTTTAAATCTTAAGCGGGATCGTCCTGGCAGATCCCAACCTCACTAAGATGGAGCAGTTAATTATCTCAAAAACTAGAACTGAAAAGGGGAAAGAAGGAACTGGTGCCATATTTTAAATCAGTGGCTAAATATACACATTAAAATGTATAACATTTATTTTGGCATGTGTTGTATGAATAGTAAATAGATAAATGTTAAGTACTATTGATCATATAAATAGTAAAGCGATAAATGCAGCTTTGATAAGAATTAAATAATGCTTAAATAAATCTAATTAAAAAAACTGTGTGGAAGCTTACCCGAACAGATCTGAAAATACTGCCACAATGATCGCCATCTTTCATTAACATAGCAACATAGGAATTATTCACTATTTCCCACTCTTGCCACACACTGCAAATTTAATTGAACATTTATGTATATTAGAAAATATAACCTATGACATACAAAATTAATATTATTAAGATAAAAAATAGTGCCAATCATAAAATGTCATGTTATTTATAAAAAAATATTGAACAAACAGCCGGCTCATGAGCATATTTACTGCTGAAAGTCTACTAAATTTTCATATTTTCATTCTATCAAAAAAAATTGTTTAAACCTACCCTAGCACTCCTTTGTAAGGGTTCCAGTGAAGGCCTTGTTCATACTGAGTTATGTTGGAAAATGGACAAAACTTGTATTTATAACTGTTAATGAACAAAAAGACAATTTTATTAAATAAAATTTCATTTATTTTTAAAGACATGAAAAATCATCACCTAAGGTCTATACCAGGGGTCTCCAAAATACGGCCCGCAAGGCCCTGTCATCCGGCCCGTGGAGAACTTTATGTCTACAGAAAAAAAAATAACAGAAATTTATGTGTATCCTGCCAAATCAGCCGCTGTTTACATGGACGTCATGTTTTTATCTAATTAAAATAGAAGCGCGCAGTTCACAGTCAATTAGATGTTATAACGCCATCTAGTGGCAGAGTTTTTAAATGCTTTGTTGCTTGTTCAAGACTTGATTATTTTGATCACAGTTTTCCAGTATTGGTTGACTGCTGCGATGAGGAGGTGTTGTTGTCAGTTAGCGTCTGATTGTGAAGCATTCTACAACCAATGTTCCTGCACTGTATTATTTACTTTGTTTCTGTCTGGTTTTTGCACCCACTGTTATTTTTTCTCTTATTTTAGGTAGGATATATGTATATATATATTATGTAAATTTAATTTATACTTATACAAAGGTTTAGTTGTTATACTGATGAAGGCATGTGCCGAAATGTTTGCGTATTATGTAAATTATTATTAAAGCTTAGCATATATTGCTATATTGACACAAATTGTTCGTGTCTAATTAATCTATTATTGACCATCAAGCTTTGTGTGCTAAATATGTGGACATCAGCAGTGCACTGAATCCTGTGGTGAGGATGGTTAATCATTAAGGTCACATGGTCTCAACCATAGACAGTTGAAAGATACAATGAGTAAGTTGTGAGAACGTTCTGAGCAGAGTATTTAAGTTAAGTAAGGAAATAGGTGACTTCCTGGTGAGTAAAGGCAAGCCACAGCCATTACTGTCTGATGAAGAGGGGGTATGGAAATTTGCCTTTGCTCCAGACATAACTCGTTATTTAAATTTTCTGAACCTAAAACTACAAGGAGATGAAAATCTAGTTTCTGATCTATACACCCACCTAAAGGCCTTCAGATACAAACTCATCTTGTTTTTGGAACAAAAACAAGCTTACAACTTGACGCATTTTCAGCAGTGCAAGGACATCATAACTGAAGCAAAAGCGGAGTTCTCTACGTCATTTGCATGTGAGATCATCAAAGACCCCCAGCTGTAGTTTCAGCAGTGTTTTTCTGACTTGGATTCAAAGGCAGAAGAAGTGAGACTGTTTCAAAACCCATTTGAAGCAGATGTGGCCAGTTGCCCAGATGAACTGCAGCTGGAGGTCATTGAGTTGCAAGCAAATGACCTCCTTAGGTACAAGTTCAAAGAAGAACTGGTAGGTTTTAACCAAGTTTTTTCCTAATGTCAAAATTTTTGCATCAAGGTACCTTTCAATCTTTGGAACAACATACCTGTGTGAACAAACATTTTCAAAAATGAAACGCGTGAAGAGCAATTTGAGAACAAACTTGTCCGATGATAACCTCAGGTCAATGTTGATGTTAGTGTTAGGAACATTAAATCTAATGCTATTTTGGCATCCAGGAAACAGTTTCACCATTCCCACTAATACAGGTGTTCATGTGTAGTTTATCAATGAGTTATTACATAATAACTAAATAAAATAATATTAAATAAATAATTAAAAACGACATCCATGTTTTGATTCTTTTTTATTTGGACCTTGAGTGTGTAGTCAGCCCCCGAACTGCTGTTTGATAGTTAATGCCACCCTCGGACTGAAAAGTTTGGAGACCCCTGGTCTATACAAATGATTAAGAGATTAATAATGATTTGTAAAAAATGACAAGTTAAAGAATTATTGTATGACATTTAATTTAGGGTGTGAAAACAGACCCCAAAAATAATAATAATATCATAATCATTATTACCCTTTCGGCAGTGGACATACGATGTTCATTATTTTTTTTAACATTATATCTCTATAATGTTATAAAAAAAATGTTTGTTAAAGCAAATTTTGTTCATTCTAATTCTAACAGAATACAGTTTGTGAGCAGTTAATAATAACAGAACTAAATATGCAGTCTTATTACTGCAAACATGCAATATGATAGAATTCTCCATCTTTTTGACAATTCCGTTTGGTCTCTTCTCATGTGTATCTCAAACAGGATATGATACATGGTTTTTGCTCAAAGAATTTTGCACACTTTCAAATGGTGCCGCTGATCAGCAAAAATATTTTGCATTCAATATGAAAAAAAATGAAACTTAAAACCAAAGTCATTAAAAGTTACCTTGATCTCAAATGTGTGTGGTAGGTGGTATCTATGTACACAGCTATTATGGGAATCATTCTCAAATAAACTTATTGAAGTAAAATTCGTAAGTAACCTTTAGTAGTAAATAATAAATTAAAAAATCACATATATGGCCAGATTAAACAAGCTGGTGTGGAACAATTCTAAACTAAAATAAAGGACAAAACGGAGCGACTACCAGGCATACATGCTCAGTAAAGTTAGACCACTTATGCCACCAAAGAGCAGTCATTCAGTAGCTTCCACTTAAATTTCTGCAGCGAATTTGTTGGAAGGACAAAGTAGTAAAACTGAGGATCTGAAAGGTGACAAATGTGCAGCATGTTCTTCCCTCTCAGCAATTACTTAAAGAGACATACTGCTATCTTCAAGCTTTTTGATCTTAAAATAGAATTTACACCTCTCTGCTGTAAATAATATTTTGCAACCTTGGTTCACAATAAGGCAGATGGTGAGACCAATGCTCCTAAAAATTCAAACTGACAATAAAACTAACGCAATGGTGATAAAATCAAATATTCTTCTATATATTAAGGGCCCGAGATCAATGTATTGATCATTCTGGCTCCTATGTATGGAGAGGGGATTCGCAATGTTTTTGTGCCTGGACTCATTAATAATCCAGACATTTTTAAAAGGGTAAAAGATTGTATATAAAAAAAAATGTAAAAAAATTTGAAAACTAATAAAAAACATTTAACTGTAATTATTTGGGGTTTTTATATTTTATATGACCCACTTCTGTTCATGTATAAGTCTTGATAAAGTGCATCCTTATAATCTAGCGTGCATAAAACAAAGTTATTCCAAATTTATTTGATAAAGAAACAATGTATTTACAAGAAACATTAGGAAATATAATGCCTACTCATTGATCGTAGAGGTGAAGCAGCGTCCAATAAGTCTTTTGAAGTGAGGTGGTCCTGAAAAGTTAGCTGGCTGTACTCTTAGCTTGAGGGTTTCTTCACTTTGGGTGTGGCTCTGCTGACTGTAGACATTGTTGAGTCTAAAAAAATGGGAAATTAATTTTTTTTAAATCTGGTTCATTTAAATTTTTAACTTAAGCCGAGTAAAGCTGGACTAAATAGTTTGAGATTAAGGAACTATTTGAGGATTATGAACATATATTATGACTCATTGAAGACTTGTAAGAGTGTACTAAGAATGTAAGCAGCTCCTTTTCTTTTAGTATACTAAGTCTAATAGTAAACATAAATTCATGACTGAAAGACAGTTTGTTATCAGTTCTACTATAACAGTTATTTTTAAAAAATAAGTGGTTGGAAAATAGGATATGGTAAAATATTTGGATTACATTTATATTTCCAGATAATTTTGTATTTAAAATAAATTCACAACAGCAAGTTCATTCTTAATAATGTGTTGTTTTTTTTCCATCTTGCTAAGTTGCTTTTAAGAAAATTAAGTCCTACCAACCTTACCCTAAAAAATAATTCATTTTTTGTCAAACTTCTTTGAAAAAAACTTTTTTACTAAATGAAATGTTTTAACAACCTTGGATAAGCTAAAAGGATGTGCTTGATATTTACTTAACAGAATAGAGCAATAATTACCACAATGTTTTTTTTTCACTCTGGAAAAGAGCAGGATTTACCCAGGTAAATTTTGTTAGTAAAAAGATTAAACACTGACTCTTCTTTGAACTGAGTTAGAAATGATGCCCAGCCGGCACTGACAACCTTTCGGGCAACAGAATTTTGGGAATCAATGCCAAAGCAACTTGAATTTGCTAAGAACTTCTAGATTTTGCTTTTATTAAATTGTACAATCTGAAGAAAGGTCTTACAGAAGACACATAAATTAGTATAAAAGTAATAAATAATGAAGAGGGCTATATGGAAAACAATGGGGAAATGGATCTAGAATTTTTCAAACCAAACATGACTACAGAATACAAAGGTACCTTTTAGAATTATGTCTTATTCTGCTACATCATATTGAAAAAGTGTATTTTGTTGCATATGGTGTACTGTTTATTTGCTATAAATATTTATTGACTCTTCCAGCATTCCAAGTTTCATGCAAACGAAGTTTCTCGAAATAGAAATTTATAAAAAGTTTATTGAAGTGAACTTTACCTGGAATCAAATTGGAGGCTTATTTTGATGAAATTTTAAGCCAGATATTGCAGAAAACTTGTCAAAGGGACAAAAGATTGATGGCCTGAGAAACCTTAGCGAGATAAAACCTATGATCCATTCTATGATATTATTTTTTGTTATCTCACAATTCTGTTTTTCATTGTTTTAGAGACTAATAAATTTATTTAAATTTATAGCAGAGAGAATGACCTATTTAACTTTCCCCATAATGGGTCAACAAGTTCTGGGCCGATTCATCCCAATAGCCTGGGCTGAATGAAACCACTAGATCTGCCTTTATAAGCAGCAAACATATATTAATATTAAGATTTTTTTTGCTACCGGGTATTTAAAATAATTGCGGAAGAAATTGTTAATTCATTCTTTAAATTTTTCTGAATGTTTTTATTTTTAAAACTTAGATATGATACAATTTTTTTATATTTTTTTTAGTGTATATATCATATTTTTATAATAGTTTATTTATTTTCTGAGTTCCTGAGTTTATTAATTTAATTAGCATGTCTTACCCAAAACTTGAGGGCTCTTCAACAATCTTCATTTCTACCAACTCGCCAAGAACACCTAAAAATAGAGGAAACACTACATTAAAAAGACTATGTTACTTTGCTTAAAGAGAAAGGTAGCGTTTTTATTTTCTTTCCTAAATTATGCAATACATAAACTGTTGAAAGTAAAAAAAAAGCTTATTATTATTATTAGTAGCCAACTTCACATGCAAATTCCATTAAAATTTTATGTTGTAATAAGTCTAAAATAACTTAGTCAGCACATTAGTTAGGTGTCTGTAGTTAGAAACATTTAATTAATCAGTTCAGACAAGGAGTTGCTTGAATAGGAAACAATCTGGATATCTAAAATTGTAAGTACTTTTAAAACAACATGGGACTCAAATCAGGAGATGTTAATGTCACATTACCATCAGAGGTAAAGTGTTATGTAGAACATGTTTACACCACTTTCCTCGTGCCGTGCACTCTGGTTGACCCCACATGAGACGGCGTTCGCATTGAGTGTGGCCCATTTTTCCTTTCATCTAGCCGTTGTTTTCCACAACTATCAACTAAAAATAACTAGTATATTCTAATAGAATTTTGGGGAAACTTCAATAATTGACTAGAAAGATAACAACATTTCTAGAAGCGTTGGTTCTACCGATGCACAGATATAAAAAGGGGATTCAGAGATTCATCGAGAGAGATTCAGATAGATATTTTTAACTTTACGATACAAGTGTTATTATTCTTTGTGTCCTCATAATGTAGTTATTCACATTCGTCATTGTACATTATTAATTGGCACATTGTACTAACTGTGTTATTCTGTAAGTTGATAATTTGTAATTATATTTTCTTTTGTTTTGTAATTACTTAAATAAGTATTATTAATTGTGGTTAGTGCTGTTTTTCAGTGTCGTATCTTTACTATTGTATTTCTCTATGGTATCGTCCTTTTGTTATGCACTGTTTTGAACGAGCCATACAATTAAAATAAGAGATTAAGTTCTCACAATAGAAGCCAGTGCGTAACATAAAGTGTAAAAAGCCTGCCAAATGTTGCTCGCTAAAGGTTCTTAAAATTAAAAATAATCAGAGTGTCACAATAGTTAAGACTATAATTACTTTCAACATTTTCAATATATATATAAAATGTTATATCAAAAGACAAGTTGAAAAAAAATTACAAATGAGTTGAAATAAAAAAAATTGAGAAGATCTAACATATCAGTAGACAGAAGACTACAATCACTGACAAATCCTTTCTCCCAAAAAAATAAGTGACCTTCTGATGAATGCTTGAAATGCTTACAATAAATGTGTCAAATAGTTATTTTTTCTTCTTCTTTTTTCAAGAGATGCACAAGATATAAACAGAATTTTTTTAATATAATTTCTAAAGCATTAATTTACTATAAATTATTTAGGCAGCCACTGATAACACAAATAAGTGTCTATCAGGCATGTGTGCATTGAAGTGTGGACCACATATACCAGTCATGAGCGGAAACTCAAAAACTTCCATCAAAGATGTCAAGGTTTCATTTTACCCATTCAATGGCAGGACAAGGTGTCTCACAGAGGTATTGGAACGTGCAAAAATGTTTTCTCCGTTTTTAGGTTAAGCCATGTAAGGAGAATGGAGTAAGGCCGTATTTGAAAGAAGATGCTGTATGGAGAGTTGGCAGAAGGGACAAGACTTATTGGACGGCCATGCCTGAGAAATAGCTACTCCATCGTCTCGTGAAGACGGAAGGATTCCATATATACAAAGGGCTAAATTATTATTGCTATTCCTTAAACCCTAATAATTCAAACTTTGATACAACTGAGGCCACCATAGGCCATGTTGATCTTGTTTACACTGTCCAATTCTCACATCTTGATAGATTATAAGCAATGAGATATATGGGTAGAAGTTATAGTTAGCAGTCTTCTAGTATATGAAAGAGAGGGTGCTTTTCAGTTCATAACATGAAATAAATTTGTTTTGATACTTTCATAAATCCCTATGCAGTAAAGCACTCTCCCATTCCCCCTCCCACCGAGTCTTCGAATTTAAATCAAACTGAGTAATGTAAGACAACAGTTCTCAATGTGGCCATATCACTCTCAAGGGGGTTGGGGGGGGGGGGGGGGGGGGGGGGGGGTGGGGGCATATTATCTTTCTTGAGGAACAAAAGCAAACAAATTGGGAGACTCTGGTCTAGTACACACTGTTAATATCAGAATTTTTTAATAATAAATATAATTTTTATATTTAAAGTAACTAAGTTAAAATTCTATATTTAGAGACTGTCAAGCTATACTAAATTTGTATAGTATCAGGAAATGTGCATTTATTTATTAAATAGTACACATGTCAATTTGAAGCGTCTTTGAATATGAGGTCGGCACGAAATGTTCAGCCTGCAACAAAGTACCCCTCCCCCCACCAAACTCTTCTCCTATAAGAAGAAAGAAGTAATATTCTAGCATTACAGTGAGTCAACTTCCATCCATCCATCCCTGTGGCGTTACAGCCCATGTAGGGCTTTGGCCTGCCTCACCACTTCCTTCCACTCAGACCTAACTAATGCCTTTCTTTTCCATGCTTGGACTTTCAGCTGTTGTAGATCTTTTTCTACATCATCTATCCACCTAAGCCTAGGCCTGCCTTTGAGCCTTTTTCCTCTGGGGTATTGGTGACGTACCCTCTTCGTTCCTCTGTCATTTGGCATTCTCTCTAGGTGTCCTGCCCAGCGTAGCCTGCCTCTTTTTATTTCTGCCACTATGGTAAGATCCTGATATAGACTATAATTCCTGGTTGGTTCATATTCTCCATCCATATTCATCCTTTGTTGGCTCATATATTTTCCTGAGAACTTTCCTCTCCCATGTGTTTAATAGGTTTTCTGCTGTTTTTGTTAGGGTCCAAGTTTCACTTGCTTATGTTACAACTGGTCTGATCACAGTTTTATAAATAGTTTTCTTTGTTTCTCTTGTAATGTTTTTACTTTTGAGTATTTTCTTACGACTGAAGTATGCCCTGTTTCCGGCTGATATTCTTTCTTTTATTTCTGTTAGTAATTCGTTTCTTTCATTTAACAAGGATCCTAGGTATTTGAATTGATTTACTTTTTCAAAAGTTTGGTTTCTAAAAAATTAACAAAGTAGACAAACAACCTCTCTTATCATGGTCATGTATTTTGTTTTTTGGTTGTTAACTTCCAGCCCTGCTTGTAGAGATGCGTCTTCTAATTCAATAAAGGATTTTGATATGTCTTTTATACTTTTCCCTAGAAGTGCTATGTCATCAGCATATGCAAGATACTGAAGTGGTTGGTTGTAGAGTGTGCCCGTTGGTTGTGGGTCTTGAGTTTCCCTCAGAAAGTATCCTGTTATCGTTCCTCGAGTGTCAATGTGTATGTTTCTAATAACTCTCTCTAATGTTAGGTTAAAGAGCATACAAGACAGCGAGTCTCCCTGTCTTAGACCTCGTCTAATATGAAATTCCCTTGAATATTCTCCTTGAATCCCTTTTTTGCTTTTTGAGTTGTTTAGTGTTACATGTATTAGCCTTGTCAGTTTGTTGGGTATCCCGAACTCCTGCAGAGTCTCATATAAATAGTTTCTTTTGATGCTGTCATAGGCCATTTTATAGTCGACATAGAGTTGATGTACTGGTATATTAAATTCATAGCCTTTCTCTAATAGGCATCTGATGGTGAAAATCTGATCAGTCGTTGATCTGTTAGGCCTGAATCCACATTGGTAATTACCTAGTATTTCTTCAAAGTAAGATTGTAGTCTTTTGGCAATAAGCTTTGTCAGTATTTTGTATGTAACATTTAATAGGGAGATTCCTCTGTAGTTTGTGCACTGAAGTTTGGAGCCTTTCTTGTGTATTGGGGTTATTAATGCTGTTTCCCATTCTGTTGGGATTTTTTCTTCTTGCCAAATTTTAGTTATAAGTTTATGTATCTGAGTGTGTAGTTCTTTTCCTCCATATTTAATCAGTTCTGCTGTGATGAGGTCTGTCCGAGGGCTTTGTGATTTTTCATGTAATTAATTACCTCTTTGGTTTCTTCTAGGGTTGGGCATTGTATAAATGGGTCTGGTCCTCCCTGTGGGGTTTGATAATCTTCTTCTTGTCTATTGTCTGCATTCAGTATGTCCTCAAAATATTCAGCCCACATCTCCAAAACTTTACTATTTTCCGTGATTAATTCTCCATTGTGGCTCTCACACATTTGCGGTCTGGCTTGGTATCCATTCTTTTAATCTTTTATCTTCATGTACATTCCTCTTATATTTCCCTCTCTTGATAAATCTTCTATTACCTTTAGTTTATCCTTTTCCCATTCCCTCTATTTCTTCCTACACATTTTTGTTGCTTTCCTTCAGGCTTCCTTGTATGTTTGTGTTGTCTTTCTGGTTTCCCTTTGTAACATGATCATTCATGCTTTGTTTCTTTCTTCCACAGTCTCTCTGCATTCATTGTCGTACCAGCCTACTCTTGTTGGCTTGCTGAAATCCCACTACTTTTTCTGCTGATCTTTTAATGGCATTTTTTATCCTATCGCACTGATCATTTATGTTGTTTTGCCTGTTTATTTCCTCGTGCGATGCTTCTAATTGTGCTTCTACTTCATTCTCGTAAGCTTTTGCAGTTAATGGGTCTTTGGGCAGCTTTTGGTAATCGTATTGTTTCTCTCTTTGATTACGACCATTGTGAACTAAGCTTATCTTCTGCCTATATTTCACCCTTACAAGTAGATGGTCCGAGTCCGCATCTGGTCCTCTAAGGCTTCTCACATCTAATATATCTGATCCATGTCTTCGATCTATTAAAACATGATCGATTTGATTGCGGTGATTTCTTCTGGTGAGTTCCAAGTAGCTTTATGTATATTTTTGTGCGTAAACTTGGTGCTGCTAACTGACATCCCTTTTCCTACATCAAAGTCTATGAGTCGGATCCCATTGTCATTGGATTCTTCATGCAGACTTCCTATTTCGGCATTGAAGTCTCCAATCACTATTTTAATATCATGTGGTGGTGCCTCTTCGTAGATCTTTTCCAGTGTCTCATAAAAGGATTCTTTATCCTGATCTTCCGTGTCTTCCGTTGGAGCATGTAAATTTATTAATGTTATATGGAACATTTTTCCTCGCACACGCAAAGAACACAATCTTTCGTTTTCTGGTTAGAAGCCTATGACTGCACTGACCGCTTCCTTTTTCACGGCAAATCCTGTTCCCAGTGTGTTGGTGTTGCTACCACTATAAAATATGGTGTATTTTTTTGTCTTGAGGATGTCTGAATTTTTCCATCAAATTTCTTGGAATGCAGCTATAGATATTTTATTTTTGAACAGTTGATTTACAAGGATGGCTAAGGCTCCTGCTCTAAAACAGGCTTAGTACATTCCAAGTCGCAATCCAAAAATCATGTCCATATTTATGCATAGGTCGATTTCCATTGATATCAGTCCGGGTTTTGTTCTGTTGCTTGGCTTTCGTAACGTTGATTTTTTACGTGGCCGGGTTGTTAACCCTGCGCACAACAGTGTGGGAGGTTGCCCCTTACAGCTCTCTGGATAGCAGCCTTAGTTTTTGGGTAAGGTTCCCTAGCCTTTGTGGATCCCTCCACTTCCTACAAGGCAGTAGGTTCTGATTTTGGTCCACCCCAGGTATTTTATTTCCCTGGCACCCTCCATATCTGGTGGGCTTTCCCCTATCCGCCACCTGGGGAGGCGCTCGATGGAAGATCAGTATTTCCGCACGAGGTGTCATATGACTAAAATAAAATTTACATTACTAAGATATTTAGAGATTTGAACGAAAAGAAAAAAGTCATTTATTAGAAAGTACATTCAAGAAAGAAAAATGATAGAATAAATAGTATTTCTATCCCAAATATCTAATTGCAGCCACACAACTTTTATATAGTGTTGTTAATAACATTAACAAAACTGGATTTCCCCCTTTGTCCACCTTATGTACACAACTAGTCCCAATTTCAACAGTAGGTCCTGGTTTAAATCCTTAAATTTATGATAAAAATAACTTTTTTTGGCATTTTGAATAGCAGCAGCAAATGTTTTTTCTGGTAAATTTTGTTTGCGCATTGCTTGTATTGGTAATTTTTTTTTTGAATCTGGAAATTTAATGAAACAAATAAAAAGACAATAATTTTAAAATTTTAATTTAAGGGGGTGGGGGGGTTGTTGGAAAGGTTTAGAAGTTGGGAGGAGATGAATCAGTGTGAAACTTTTAAGAATCACCAGCCTAGTACACTTACTAAAATCATTCCTCCCCCCTCCCCCACAACATTTTTCTTTCCATCTCACTTCCTGTGGTAACCCCAATGCTATAATTCTCGTCTCAACTTCAAAATAAATTCTCACAACTGTCAAAGTCAATACAACCCAATTCTTCCAGTATCCTGTAAATTAATCAGACGCCATTTCACGGACTTCTCACATCTCTGTACTGATTCTCTCAGTGATCGTACTTTGAAAATAAAATAATTATAATTTTTGTATAAAACAATAATTTTAATTAGGACTGTAATTAACTAAATGAGTGAAGTGTTAAAGTTAAGTGCATTTTTCTACTGTAATTAATGGTCCGCTTTTAATGTTTATTAAACCCCCCCCTCCCCGACGTAAGACATCAGTTTTATGGATGGTCCATAAGTGCCCTAGCCCTGAGCCTTAAAATTAAGGCCAGGCCCTGACTGTGACTATAGTACTATAGTCTATATTATAGCCTATACACTATGGACACTATGGTCAATGGCCATGGAAACTATAGAGGCATAGTTGGGGTTATTAAAATATAGGAAATTTTAGGCATTTTAGTAGACTATTCAATTATTATCACTCATGACTGTGGTAGGCAAACAACCATGCTATTAAAATTCAATAAAATAAATTAAATAATGAAATGATTATTCTCATTGATTCAATCATTCATTAATTATGAATTAAGAATCAAATGAATCATGATTAACCCTCTTAGGGCGAATGGGCCGAATCGACCCAGGGTGGAGTAGCGAAAAAGACGGATGTCTGATCTTTCGGCCCGATAATTCAAGCCTTGAGATTGGCTGACTAATCGTCATACCTGCGAATCATATGGCTTCTTACATATTCCTGCACATCCCGGCATTGAAATGGCAGCCAGTGTTGATAGTTAACTAGCTTTTATTGTGTTCAGGAATTTTTTTTTTTTTGTGTGGCAAATATTATTGTTAAATTTGTTAAATTCCAAAATGTCTGACAGTGACACTGATCAAACTATCCATAGTGGTTTTGATATTCTAGCAGTGAATCTGACACTGATGAAAACAACCAGGAAATTAATGAAGACTATCAAAATGAGGGTAATGCTAATTTTGCGAACTCTTGGTTTAGTATTAGGGGTCCTCAACTTGGCAGAGATGACCCCTCAGAATTTTAGGACAAAATAGGTCCTATAAATAAGGCATAAGCACCCCTTTTAAGTACATAAAGTTATTTTTTTACACTAAATATCACTCTAATGTTTATGAGAGTGAGAGAGACCAATATATGTGCAGACAACTTTCTCAGTAACACCCAGCTTAAGAGTAGGTCCCTAAGTCATAAATGTTACAGTGAGTGTCTGTAACAACTGAAAGTAGTGGGGAGGTGGGGGGGGGGGGGGGGGGGGGGAAAAGCCTTTTAAAAAGGAGAAGAACCATATGCCAGGGGTGTCTGATGGGCCTCCATGGGCCTTGTTTCCCAAAATCATAAGTGTTAGGCACAGTTAGGACTTATTCAGGCTTCATCCATCAGAAACCTCACACAATTGATACAAGTAAATCAGGGTAGCTAATTTTGCATAAATGTAAAGATTGTATTTTTGTATCAGTATGTTGTAGGAAATTGAATGAACTAATTTAGTTACTAATTAATAAGTAACTTAACTAAATTATTAGTTCATTCAATTTCCTACATTATTTTTTAATAATATATAGTTTTATATTTATATATATTAAGTAAATAGTTTCTTTTTTATAAATTATTTTGCAATGCAAGTACCGAGCTCGTAAAAAGTGGCCGGTCTTTCTGGCACATTCACATACACCACCAAAAGGCTCCGTCCCAAGGCCAAGAGGAACAACACTAAATACTAGTATGAAATGATCACAGTCTATGTCATAGACTTTAATTTTTAAAATATATAGGCATAGTAGGCTTATTATAAACTTATTACCTATTTTTCGGTATTCATACCACGTTATAGAAAGCAATACTCCGTAAATAATTGCCGCAGAAGTCATGATTAAATTATTTGTTTTTAAAATTAAAATCAAAACAATTGAACGTGCACTTTTAACATCACTAAATTATAAGGACTCTGAATCTAATTGCCGAGATCCGAGAAAAGCTTCACGAGTTTATCTGTTATCTTCAAGTCAGTCTTCACGTACTAAGTGAAGTGGCTTTCCGCTGCCCGATACGAAAAAATATGGGCCTACATCGTAAAAAAATGCTAATATTGTGTAACTGTAAACGCAGGTTTGGTAACAAAAGACAACAAGGTTTTAAAATCTTTGGTATTAAATTTTAAAGTATTACGTTGCAACCTTCTCTCTTTCTCTTCAAGGCTCGGCTATCTTGGATATAGGCCACTATCCCTAATTAGCAGAATTCATTAAGCTATGAACGTAGAGTTAATTCATTTGATTAAAATAATATTGAAATCATCTAACAGAACATGTAAATTGATTTCATTGAAATCTGTAGACATAAATATTTCTGACAATAGCTTGACCGTTTATGACGTTTGATTGATTTATGATGCATCAAGACAAATGAACTTTCATGAAAACAATTACGTAAAGAGAAATAATACTATAGTGAGATTCGACATGTCAGCATGAGGACACCTAGCTCTAATAAGGCATTGCCTTCTATTAATTTCAAAGAATATATTCTTGTATGGAAAACTGAAAATCATTTGACATTTGAAATTATTCAGATTGATCAATTTCAGATTCTGTTTCATTCAGATAGATCATTTTTAAAGTCAAGCAACAATGGGGACATTTTTTGGATCCATAATTATTAATGTATGTGTGTGTGTGTGGGGGGGGTGAATCTAAAGGAAGGGGGGGGAAGGGGGGGGGGGGCTTATTGACGGGTGCTCTTATTTCGCGGGACCTTTTGTCGGGGACCGTATTGTGGTGGGAAATAATCGTAGCCGTGTTGACGCATCAGGCCAGAAATCTGCACCTAAGCTAGAACCTAAGCTTACGCTACGTGACTTGAAGCTTAGTATAAGACCTCAAATTCTTATTATGTAAGTCAGTTTCGGGTTGGGGCTAGAGACCGACAGAATTTTGCCAAAATTTGCCCTTTGATCACTTTCGGCCTCGTTTCGATTTCGACCGAAACAAAAAAGTTAACTTTCGGTTTAATTCGGTTTCAGTCGAAACTGATTGAAGTTTTCAGTCATCTACCAGAAGTCAGAATGTATGTCTGTCTTTAGGCCGTCAATCCGATATTCTTTATTGCTCGACGTCTTGCTGTCATCGTATGTTATATGACTAATACTCAGCGAAAACTGCTCACAGCTGCCTGATGACATACCGTCCTCTTAGAATAACAAAGTTCAATGTGACTTTTGTGTCCAACCAAGACATTTGGTTTTGAAAATTTGATGTTGGTATGGATGAACTAAAAATGTTTTTATCGATGTTGTTGTTGTTTTATGTTGTTATTATCAATACAAAGTTTGATCATTAAAATGAAGGTTCTAGGTATTCATTTTGATTTTATATGAATTTATGAAATTTTCGATAGAACCTTGTAATTCGGAAAATGCCGGCGCTATAGGGGATGGTGAAGTGGGTAACCGCCCTAGGCACCGCGTTTGCCGTAGTATATTTATAATATACCTAAGCCTTTTAATAGTTCCTAATCAAGCCAACACAATATTCGGAGTTATTCGATAGTCAAATGGTCTGAAGGTCAGTCTGGCTCCCATACTATCCATTCGAGATGAATCTCGGGAAGACCTCTGGGCGCATGTTAGGCAGACGAAAGGGGATTATCAGGGAATATAACATCAACGGCCCCTCAAAATTCACTTTGCCCAAGGCCCCGCACCCTCCTAGCGCCGGCCCTGCTTGGTTTATTCAATTAATTTATTTGTGATATTCATTTTGATTTATCATTATCATGCTTATGTTGTCATAGGCAAAGACAACATTTTTATTGACGAAATAACACACATTATGGACATGTATCACGGGAACGTATAATACTAATGTAGAAGGCCTACTGCACATCTGTTGACTTTTATGATTTTGGCGACCAATTTAGATGTCTATTGTGATTCTCCGTCGACACCCGTCAGAACAACAATTTTAAGAGACTCGGTTTAAAAAATCCCCCCCCCCCCCAAAATGTGGGTAAGGGAGGTTAGTCGCCAAACAAAATAATTACTTCACCAGTACGGAAAGCTTTAAAACTGATATTTAGGTTATTATTGTAGATTTATATGTAGGTAGCGTTGTAATTATATCATAAAAGTAAAGTGCACTCAACGGTCTATTTTGCATGAATCCCCCCCCCCCACCCCGTCCAAAGTGTCTGTTATCATACTACTTTAAAATACTTTTTAAAAAAATAAATAAATTACTTTTGAATTATATGGTAAAAGCCAAAGTATTCAACAGATGTTGATTTATTAATATTCACGATGATCTCATTTTTTAATAAAAAGAATATAAATATTGATGCTTTCCCCACCATTTTTCGATGTATGCAGAATGTATACGTGAACGAATTTCAAAATATCTTAATATTTCGATTTCGGCCGAAAGTCTCGTTAGCTTTTGGTTTCGGTTTCGGCCAAAAGTCATGCTCATCTTTCGGCCTAGTTTCGGTTTCGGTCGAAATCAGGAAATCACTTTCGGTCGGTCTCTAGTTGGGGAAATCCAGATAAGTCTTAAAATATTGTGGCTGATAATTGATAACTTATGTATGCCCCCCCCCCCCACCTCAAGGGGATAAGCCAGTGGCGTAGGACGGAGGAGCAGAGGATGCGGTCCGCCCCAAGCGTCACATTTCCAACCAACTGCAAGGCTATGTTAGTGAAAGGCGGAAGGCAAAAACCGTAACCCCTGTTGGGCGTCAGTAATCCTAGCATTTTGGACGTACCGCAGAGTGTTTATCTTGGAAGGAGGTGGTCAAAATCTGGCCGCTCAGGCTGGCCCAAACCCTACACTGCGTCACTGGCCATTGCATATATAAGGGACCAAATTAGGCACATGGTCAAAAGGGCAAGCTAATACTCCACACCCATCAACCAACATTAACAAATTTCATTAAATTTTTTACTCCCATAAGAGTATAATGGTCATTTGTCCTAAATCGCTACAGGAATACCTCTAGTGTTGGCAGCATGCTGGAAACACTAGGCTGGTCACCATTGGAGAAACGACGACGGCAAGCCAGGCTCTCCATGATGTACAAGATAAATAATGGGCTGGTCCACTGTTCCAGTGTTAAACAGAAACTCGTCCTTCTCCCCCATAGACAGCGACCAGGCCATGACAGGTAATTCAGGCTCATACCAGCAAGAAGCCAGTATAGGAGCTGCTCATTCCTGCCCAAGACAATCAGGGACTGGAACAAGCTTTCAAAAGGAACGGTTGAGGCGACAACACTAGACACATTTGTGTCTATTGCCTCAAGCCTTCAAACCACTAGTGCAGAATTCCCTCACAAAGTGGCACTGGAAATCTGTGAAATTTCCTCATCAACACCAGGAACAGAAACATTGCAAATCCCATCTACATGCATAGGAGCCAAAATGATCAATAAATTGATCGTGGGCCCTTTAGATATAGAAGAAGAAGATTTGTATTATCTTCAAATTGTTTTATTTATGTGCTGAAAAAGCATCAAAAAAACATTTCAATTTATTTGGATCAATAAAAGAATCTTATCTTATCTTATATGGGGTTGTCTTTTGTCTTGAGGATGTCATCAAATTTCTTGCAATGGAACATAATGGATTTGTCTTTAATTAGTAGATCTAAACGGTTGACTAAGGCACCTGCTCATAACAGGCTTAGTAAGTTCCAAGTCTCAATCCAAATGCCATGTCCACATCCAGTTTTATTTTTTTGTTTGGTAAATTTTATTTTGTTAACATGTCCCGGTTGTTAACCCTGTGCACAACCGTCTGGGGGCTGCCCCTTATAGCTCTCATGGTAGCTGCCTTAAATTTCAGGTGAGGGACCTTATCCTTTCTGGCAGTTGGTTCTCTTTTGGCCCACCCTATGTCTTTTATTTCCCCAGTCACTGCCTCACCTGGTAGGCTTTCCCCTATCCCCCACCTGGGGAGGCACTCGGTGAAAATTGAACATCTCAACACGAGTCAGACATGCTTGGAAATAACTCACGACGACCAACATTGCGCTTGGACAGGATGGATTTCATCTCTACACCTTTTCACTAAACGAGAGGAATTATCTTAAATATGTGACATGTCGCGTGGAGACTTGTGCTTAACAGCTCTAAAAAATTCAATATTTTGCAGTTATTCACCAATTGAATGCCACCTGTGTCGGCTTTTTCAATGACTTTCAACATGACTTCCGAGTCAATAGATCATGTAAGACCCAGATCCTTGATTTTGTAGAACACCTGTAGACCAATCTGGAGAACAACAAGCAAACTGACGTGCTGGTGATGGACTTCGCAAAGGCATTTGACCTTGTCAATCATAGTTTGCTTCTACACAACTCCAGATGTATGGGATCCAAGGCACCACTAAAACATGGATCTCTAGCTTCCTCAGCCACCGATGCCAAGCAGTACTGGTGGACGGTACAAGCTCCTTCTTTGTGAATGTGAAGTCAGGGGTCCCCCAGGGATCAGTGTTAGGCCCCTGTTTGTTCCTAGGATACATTAATGACCTACCCGAGAAACTGACATCACAGGCAAGACTGTTCGCAGATGACACAACAGTGTATAGGACGATCGCCAACAGATCTGACCAGGACCAGCTACAACAGGATCTCAATCGGTTTACCCAGAAGAGCATTAACAGGTTGGAGGTGGTCCAACGACGGCTGGCTCACTTTGTCCTAAACCGCTACAGGAATACCTCTAGTGTTGGCAGCATGCTGGAAACACTGGGCTGGTCACCATTGGAGGAATGACGATGACAATCCAGGCTCTCCATGATGTACAAAATAAATAATTGGCTGGTCCACTGTTCCAGTATTAAACAGAAACTCGTTCCTCTCCCCCATAGATAGACAGCGACGAGGCCATGACAGGCAATTCCGGCTCATACCAGCAAGAAGCCAGTATAGGAGCTGCTCATTCCTGCCCAAGACAATCAGGGACAGG